TGGAGACCAGAACCTGATCCAGCGGGCGCGCATGCGCAATGGACCCCTCGCAGTCCCCGCCCCCTAGGTCAAGCGTTTGCTCCTTTAGCCTCCTGAGGATGTTTTTTTCCCACGGTTTGTGCTTGGGCTCTGGGACTGAGGTGTAGGAGAACACAGGTAAAACGATGGAAAAGACAAGAGACGGGAGCGAATGTATTAAGTTCTTACTATAGACCAGGCACTGTGCTAGGCGTATAAGGGGTTCTTTGTTGTAATTTTGATGATCCTCTAAAGCAGGCACTATTATTGAACCCATTGTACAGACAAAACTGAGGCGTAAGGAGGAGAACTATCCCAGTGTCACGTGGCTGATAAATGAGGGAACTGACAGTAAAAACCAGTCTCCTCCAAGTCTCCTCTTGGGAGTTTGGGCACCTATGCACATGTGCCCATTGTAAGTTTAAGCCACCAGGTCTGGGACTCAGACCACGGTCAACTATGTGGGATTCCAGTGACATAACCTTTCTGCCATCTGCTGTTCCCTTAAAATGCATTTTCTGTGAACATTTTTTTTCAAAACTTTGTCAGAGGGCACGTGGTCTCACTGGAAAGAGACAGAGAGAGTGTGTGAGAAAGAGACAGGGAAAGTGATAAAGCACCCACCCTAAGGAATGGTCATGCCGTCATCCCAACTTCTTCATTTCCCCCTCTTATCAGGATTTTGGGCACACACGCACACATGCTCAGCATGTATTTCAAGCTGCTAGGTCTGGGACACAAATCGTGCAATGGACAATGTGGGATCCAGCCGTCTTAACCCCCAAGCCATGGGCTGCCTTCCCCCCACCCCCTGCCGTGAACTAGGCCCATTGTATAGGTTTGAAATGAGAAAAACACAATCTTCGAACTAGGAGTTGGTGTAATGGCTATGTCGCTGGACTCCCATGTAGCTGACCGCGGTTGGAGTCCTGGACCTGGTGGCTTAAATTCACGCTGGGCACATGTGCTTGTGTGCCCAAGATCCAGAGAGGAGAATGGAGGAGAAGGGATTGCAGCATGGCCATCTCCCCTGGGGGGGTGATTTCTCACTTTCTGTCTCTGTCTGTCTAGCGAGCGCACGTGCCCTATAGCAAAAATTTCTCCGAAAAAAGAAAAAAGAAAGACACAATCCATGGAGGGCTTACTCTTATCTGTACAATGGTGTGTTGTAACTATTTTTGGTTGAGGAAAAAAATAAATCATTTTCAGAGAGAATGAGGATGTATTAGCTTGACCCATATGAAATTGCCTGTGTTCTACTATTGCCAAATATCACAAATGGCAATTTAGTATGTTCCACCTAATTGGATAAAGGAAAATTGATGACTAAAAGACTCAGAGGAAATGAGAAAGAGATGGAACCAACCATGAATAGTGGCATTAGCCTTGAACAGAGAAAAGGACACAGTCTCAGAGACTAATGGGCACAAAATGTTGCTAAGTGAAGGGAATTTGGAGGGTGAGTGCCATACCTTAATGGCAGCTGGATTCTATGAAAAGTAAAGTGAGAAGTTATCTCCTGAAGAGGACAGGAAAGGCTTAGTACCAGAATCCTCTTTGCAAAAGCAGTTATAAGTGAAAGAACTAATAAATAAAATAGACATAGAGAAATGCTGCTTCCAGTGAAGGGGTATTAGGTGAGCCCTGACTTCCAGGCCTCACACTCAGAGCCACCAGCTTTCTGTATGTACCTTCCTCTGCCAGGAAGGGGTACACACCTGTAGAGGATTACTTTTATCTCCCTCAAATTTGCGAATGTATGTATTTTTAAATTTGCTACAGGGCTTGGTAGAGGGAGACAGAGACAAAGAGTGAGAGAGAGCGAGAGAGACAGAAAGCACCCCTCAAGATGGGATGACCATACTGCAATTCCTTTTACATTTTCTTCTCAGGATTTGGGGCATGCACACACATGACAAGCAAGTTTTTCAACTCACCAGGTCCAGAACTTGAACAGTGCAGTTGGCCATGTGGGATTCGACAGCCTTAAACACCACACCACTGGCTGGTCCTATTTATTTATTTTCAAATTGACAGATAAAAATTGTTTGTATTGTGTATGACATGATGTTCTCAAGTATTCCACCTTGTGGTATTAAATCTAGCAACTTGGAAATAAAACTAGCTACCAAGGGGCCAGCAGGTAGCATAGTGGTTAAGGTGCTGGACTCCCACATGGCTTGACCATGATTCAAAAAAGTAGTTATCAATAATTAACACTATTTTTGTAGAGAGAAAACGGAACATGGGAGGCATCTGCACGACGAACGGAAGGAAGTGTTGGTGAAGGTCTGAGCAACCACTGCCAAGGTGGGCACCGGGGAGATGGCTGAGACTGATCCCAAGACTGCTCAGGACCTGAGCTCTGTGGTGCGGACTCTTTGCAACAGATGCAAGATAAATGTCAGACCATGTCCGACCAGATCATTGGAAGAATTGATGATGTGAGTAGTCACATTGATAATCTGAAGAAAAGCATTGTTGACCTCATGATGAAGGCTGGGGTGGAAAAACTGGAAGGTAAAAACAAGATACCTGCCACACAGAAGAGTTGACAGTTGCTAATAATTAACACCGAAATCTGGAACACCAAGAGGAGACCAGCTGGCTTTCTGAGCTAACCAGTATGTGTAGACAGCTTTTATATTGTAAAGTGTGCATTCTTAACCACGTGCTATGTAGTGAGTTTAAAGAGTGACTCGCCCCAGCATCTTGACTATGTTATCTTCACATTTCGGGCCTTGGACAGTTGGGCTATTATTATTTTTATTTAAGAATTAATTGATTAATTAATTATTATTTTCACAGGAGTTTGCCAGAGAGTGACAAAGAGGGAGAGTGAGAAAGCAAGCTGCCAGGTCCGGTACTCAAACTGTAGTCAGCCATGTGGGAATTCTAGCACGTTAACCACCACGCCACCTGCTGGCCCCGTACTATTATTAAACACTAAAACTTTGGCAGTTTAAAAATAACAACAACAACAAAAGTAATATTCACTGTCTTTATATGTTTGGAGAACTCAACATATCCAGATCAGCAGATGGCATAATGGTTACGTCACTGGACTCCCACGTAGTTGATCATGGATTGAGTCCCAGATTCGGCGGCTTAAAACTCGCACTGGGCACAGGTGCATGCATATGCATGCCCACCCAAAATCCCAAGAGGATACTGGAGAAGAAGGGATTGTGGTGTGGTCATTCGCCCAGAGGGTGATTTCTCACTTTCTGTCTCTCTTTCTCTCTGGCAAGTGAAAGTGCCCTATAGCAAAACTCTCTCTGGGAAAAAAAAAAAAAGGAAAAAAAAAGAACGCAACATATCATCACTGACTCCAGTCTCGACTAATCTGTTAGACAACAACTTTCATGAAGATCTTGATCATTCATGTTGAACAGCATCTATCAGCAGCGTCTGCCTCTCAGCCTCCTGATTTTTGCTTGGGTGTCTTGATCACTAACTTCTCACACCCTCCTTGCTTCCAGGAAGACTACAACTAATTTCCTCTTGAAGCAGTCATGAAGCTACCTGCCCTTACCTTGTACTGGCAAAACTACCATCTCCAGCCAGTCCCTTCCCCCCTTCCTTTCACTGCCTTTATTTTCTAGAGACCCAGTAATACAGAACAGACTTGCTGCTCGTTTGGGTTGCGGAAAGAAAAACACCCTCTCATCTCAAGCTAATGGAAAATTCTTTTTTTTTTTTTTTTTTTTTTTTGCTTTAGGGGGTGGGCACTGGTCGGAGACACAGAGAGACAGAAAGTGAGAAATTATCCCCTGGGAGATGGCCACACTGCAATTCCCTTTTCCTTCTCCTCTCGGGATCTTGGGCACACATGCACACGTGCCCGGCATGAGTTTAAGCCACCGGGTCCGGGACTCGAACTGTGGTCGGCTACATGGGAGTTCAGTGACATAGCCATTACACTAACTGCTGGTCCTGCTAATGGAAAACTCTACCTGAGTTTTCTTTCTTTCTTTCTTTCTTTCTTTCTTTCTTTCTTTTTTTTTTGAGAAGTTTTTGCTATAGGGTGTGTGTGATTTCCAGAGAGACAGAGAGAGACAGAGAGACAGAAAGCAAGAAATCAACCCCCCCCCAGGAGGGATGGCCACACCATAATCCCTTCTCCTCCATTCTCCACTTAGGATCTTGGGCACACATGCACATGCGCCTGGTGTGAGTTTAAGCTACCCAGTCCAGGACTCGAACCACAGTCAACTACATGGGAGTCCAGCCACGTAACCATTACACCATCTGCCAATCCCTCTACCTGGGTTTTCTATCTATTGGGTGGTCAGGAAAGTCATGTTTTTTTTTTCTTTTTCTATGCAAAAATGCGTCATGACATTTCCAATGACTCAATTCTGACCTATTTGT